TTAATTATAGAAGGCGAAAGGTAAGCGGAAATTGTCGTTCCGACTCACTACCGTCATTAGACGACAGAATAGGAGGGATAGTTTGATACGCAAATGCTGTGTTTGGCTGAAATCAAAGGCTGCGAGCGGATGACAACGCACAGTTCAGTGATTTCAGTTTCTCAAATAAGCCTTGGGGAAAACCTAGCCTCTGACAAGGCTGCCACCTTGGAAAGGTGAGCCGGTTCGCCCCCATATGCCCTTTGGTGAGTGAAAAGGTTTTGAAAACTGTCTCGAAGGGGGCAATAGCGTTCATATGGCCTTGATGAGGATGAGAAAAAAGTTTTACACTTTCATATCGATACCAAAAGAAAAAGCCAAAAAGAAAAGCCAAGTCTCCCCTTTTGTTTGATGACAAAGTCCAATCCTGAGCACAATGGAAAAAGGAGTAAATAAAGACGGATCCATTGAATAAACACTGCTTAAAGCAGGAAGGGAGACGAGAGGGATAAATTGGCCTTTCCAAAGCACAAAACTACTTAGCCCTCCACCCACACTGTGCAAGATGAATTAAGGAACGACGAAGCAACCTTTATGGTGCTACCATTGGCGTACCTACTACTCGACAGCCAGCCACTCTAGCGCCTGCTCGAGAAGTAGCATGCACACCTTTAAACCAAATTTGAATGTTTCACAATCAGCACAAGCACTTCTTAATCAACGCCACAGGCTGCCACGTGGCAGAGGCGAGAGCAGTGACCTTGAGATCAATTCGTGAAGTGCCAACAGAAAGCAGGACTAAACAAACGTAATAACTACATGAGCACTTATAAAAAGTGTTTATGACTGTCTGATTTTTTACACCATTTCCGTTGATTTGCCAGATAATATTGTCAGGCTATTCTGGGTGCGCAATATAAAGCCATCTTACACATGTTAGGATAAATAAAGTGCGTTCAGTGAACTCTGCATGAAATAGATAATTAAATTGGATCAAACAAAAATATTTCTTCGAATAAGACGCATAGTTTGAACTGAAATTATGTTCCCTCAGGAAAATAACAAGGCAGATGACTCAGAGTTGGAACGGGAAGATAGCTGCCACAAGAGAACCTATGCGACCGATTCATGGTTGTCTAAAGCGCACATTGATCAAAGATCCTAAAAGGGGATTTAAGGTGGGGAGGAGGGAGGGAGAGAAGGCATCCTTATTACACGACTTCTTATTTCAAGGTACAATGATAGAAGTTCAAAGGCGAATGGACGCATTACATCGTTACCATCAACGGGAGCAAAGACATGATTTGATTTGCCCACTGATTGCTTTGCTTCCCTTTTTTGCGGTCATAACCCCACCGCCCTTACTGACAATGTGGGAGGAGAAAAATTTGGCTAATACAAATGATTGGAGCTGGTGGAAGCATATGAGCACCTTATAAAGCCATGAAGCTCTTATTTCTTGCACTAAATTTTGCTTTTATGGGGAAAGTATTCCTGTAAAAAATTACTTCACAAAATCCCAAAACGACACTTAAATCATCATTTTGAAAAAAATACCATACATAAAAGGCAGAGGCAAACCCCGCAAATTAATTCCTTACTTGGCCTTGCTGTACTTGAGGAAGAAACCAAACAATTTGAGCGCATAGAGCCGCGAATCCTCGTCATTCAAGGTGAGAAGTTGGAAAACGCATTGAATGCCATCGTGGCGGTCAAAACATGGCACCATCACCGCAGGATGCTGGGACATTAGGACCACGGCAAAGTAAAGCACGTCCTTCAGGTTATCGGGCTGGGAAAATGAGAAGTAATTTAGCCAGACATCAGTTTTATTAAAAGAGCACACCATTCACTACTATTTGCTAGACTCTAAGGAAACAAAGAACTGAGAGTTTGAGAGAGAGAACAAATGCCTTTGAAGTGACCCAATACTCAATATTCCAGCGACTATAGATTAAAATTAATTCCTTTGGCATTCCACCTCAAAAGTCCTTCCCTTTTAATCAGATTTCTAGTGAAGAGGGATTGAGGAAATAAGCACAACAGGCATTGTGCTTGTGATTACGGTGAGGAGCTTCTGACAAACACAGGTGTTGATCCTCCAAGCGTCTCTTAATAATGGAGGATATGTTATTGCCTCGTTTAACGCAAATTTCGGACCTTGCCTTGAGGTAAATGAAACCAATGCAAAAGAGTCAGACGAAAAACATCAGGACGTTACTAGGCATCGTTTCTTGTTGTCAAGACGCAAAAACTCAAATTTGGAACTATTTTTAGTGCACTTTAACTATGTTAGTCTAGAAATTCTAGTTGGCCTTCTGTGTATCATTGGACTTCACTCAATTAACATTTGGCAGAGGAAAACAAGCAGAATTTTCAACAAACGCAAAAGGTAGATGACGAAAAAAAATTTGATGATAGACTAGGCATAAAGCCCCATAAATCGGATCACTAAGTTGTATGCTAGCCAAAGAAGAGAAAGGTGAACCTATAAAGCAAGACCTAATAGCCATCAACTGCGTCTGGGTGCAAAGTATACGTCTCTAATCTCGCGTGCATCAGTGTAGTTTCAATGGAGGAGCGGTTGCCAAGCTACGACAAAGGAAACACAAACATGATAGGACACGGAGAAGGGAAAAGAAATGGTGAACAGTTACCTCACCGACGGTGCAGAGGAAGTTCAAAAGATTGTCCACTTCTTCACCGTTAGATACGAAGTTACTATCGTAGGGACTGATTTGATACTGCTGCAGGATCAGCGGCTTTATGAGGAGCAAGAGGTTGGAGCGAATTCGTGCCAGGTATTTTAGTGGTGGTCTCTCAGCTAAAATGTATTTCGGCTAAAGATTAGCAATATCCACGGAGGCAGGATATACCATACCCAATCAAGTGCCTCGGTGCTGTTTAATATTGGCTATACGAGTCCCAACAATCCCACAGACACACGGCAAAGACAATTGCAATTATTAATACCACGAATTATAAAGTCGGTGAAGCAGTTAGCAACAACTATTAATCCATTTGGTTGGCCAAAATGTTCATTTCGCTATGACACATCAACATATTCACTCGCATGAGGCTTATTGAATATGAGTGAGAAAATACTGCAGATACGGGTGATTTATGCCGGATTCGGTAGTTCAATGCTAGACGACTTCGAAGCTCAAATGCTGTTAACTTCGCCTATTTATTGGCAGGGTCAGCCATCCATCCATTTCGAATTGCATATGCCAACCAATGTGACCCACCTCTAGAAACGTCCCAATGAAAAAAGGCAGGTCTCTGAACGCTATCTTTCCAGTGGCTTTTGGTTCCTTCAAGATCATCAAATAAACGTCCAACAAGGAAGTAGTTTAGCAATACTTTGTTTTAATTTCAAGGCTTCACTAGTTTCATGGCAAAACTGAATGCAAAAAAAGTTCAGCTAGAAAAGGATTGGTGTTTTACGTGCATGAGCACTCATGATGGCGACTTAAAGTGTCGACTGACATTAAATTTCCGACATGTGTGCGAAATGTCAACAATGAAATTTATCTTTCATAGACAATGAAATGTTTAAAAAGTGTAAACATCACTGCACTATCAAATTTAATGGGCTATTTTCCGGTGGTGGAGGTAAGGACACCGGCGAGCATGGAAATAGGTGCGTTAAGTGACTACATAAATCGGAAGTATGTGGAGACGGCTTAGGGATAAGAAAAGCGATTGTGTGTATGTGTGTGTACGAAAAACAAGCCATTCCTATATTGAAGAGATACAGAGGCAGCAATTCTGTTCTATCAGAGTTTTCGTAAGGTCAATTTCAAAGCCGCAACAAAGATCCCTCACAAAAGTTCACCATTTTCCAGCAGAGAAAAGCCCATGTGAAAAATTTTGCGATGCATACACGATGCATAAACGAAACACCGCCAACTTAGATTCAAAAAGATGACAAGTAGATTCAGCAAGTCCAAAAAAGGCAAGCAATCAGCCTTCAATGACTTGGGCCCCAACCTCATTAAAGTAGGCGAACGCTGCTGTTACAGGCCTTTACAACGAATCTTACCTTTTGTTCAAGTGTACAAGAACTAACCAATGCATTGATGGAAATGTCTACTGCTGGACTAGTGACGAAATAAAAACAGCTCCTCTGAAAGCCAAGACGATTGCTATTAAACATTTATTCTACTCAAAAAAAGTTTGAATGAAAGCGAAACTTTTAGTCACTATATTCGGTGTAACCGTCCTCAAACATCCGTAGCCATGTTTAAAATATGACCGAGATGACGTAAAACGCCCCTACTTTACCCAAACCCTAGTAATGTGTCTCCTAAGCAGCAAAGAGCAAAGGATACCGTGGAGTGCTGAATTTTAGCCCGCCTGCCCAAAAATAAAAGCTCTTATTGACACTTTCAAGGACAAGCTCTCAACGAATAAAAATGCTGTGATCATTGACCAAAAAAGGAGGGCAGAATTTCGTTAGATGTGAACGAATGTTGAGTTGACATGACATTCGATGTTGATGTCTTTGGGATTATGGAAGCTTAATCACGCATCAAAATGAACAAAGAAAAAACCCGTTGCCTCCAAAGTGGGAACTAGCCTCATCTGAAACTGAGGTATGCTGTTTACTCAGTAACTAAACGTATAACATAAAACTCATCGTCTGATGGCAGCTTTGTAGGAATGACGGAGGAATAGTGGTACCACTAAGCTCCAAAGGACATGCCAAATAAAAACTCTTACCACATGATTGACAAATAGTCATGGCATAGATGTCGCCCTGAAGTGCCGACCAATCGCTTACACACCAATTTTACTCTCAAATTGCCATAGTGTGAATAAACGAAGACACCGTAAGGCGTTCTAGTGCATTAAGTCGTAAAAAGTGCGGATGTCTACGACTACAGATAACCCTCCTGTTTAAAGCTTCCACAAGTTTAATCATCACAAACAATTGGTGTCAAAAAAATTTCAGAAGGTCGGACTCTCACTTATGTTGACCAGACAAATCATTTGCAGGCGGGCTTGAATTGCAACGGCGAATGTTGAGACCAGTGGAACCACTCTGACTCCATAACCTACTGAGCAGTTCCATACCTCCAAAAATCAGCAGAATTCAAACTTACTGGCATGAATAGCCGCTATAAAACAAAATGAAGAGACGCATGAAAAGTGACTTAAAATGCTCGCAAAGCAGAACACGAGAGCCCAAGGTTTACACTACCTATTGGCTTCAACGAAAACTGGCCAAGGTACAAGCTGTTACCGATGCGGGTGCATGACAAAAATGAGCACAGGTTTCTATTCTATATTAATGAAAGAAACTGTCCATAGCCCATACATAATAATTTGCTCCAAACATGAGAGTTGATATGTTGATTCCTGACATAAAATACGATATAGCCAGACAATTTTGACCTTTACTATCTGGCAATCATAGCGAATTGTAGTGCTTCCGGGACGCTTCCCCTTAACCCAAAGCACTGAACAAACGACAAAAGCAGAGCACATGGCAAAAAGGATTGTTTTAGGTACCAACAATTACCAATGTAAGTTCGCTGACCTGGAATAGAGTCAAGGAGGGGTTGGGCAGGCCGAACCATCCAGAAGTAGTACTTAATAGCATGCAATGCGGAAGCCACAATCGACTTTCCTGACTGGCCCAGCAAATCCACGCGAAACTCGTCGGCCAGGAACCCGTACAGTCGATCTTGAACCTTAACGTCGTGGATGAAGGAAGGAAATAACACATGTTATGAACTCGTGTCAGGCTGTTTTGTGAAGAAAAAGGTGTGAGAAAGACATTTTATTACTCTACGTGTGAGTGTAAGATATGACGCCTTTGCACAAAGAATTAAAACCACCAACTCTAACAACGAGTACCACATGTGCGGGTATCCAATTCGAAAACTAGTACCAGACAAACAGAAAAAAGAAGTCAAGACAGACAGGAATATCAAGTTTTCTCAAATGATCCTCAGCTAGTAAAAATTCTTTGCAAATTGACTAAATAAAAAATAAGGCAATTTATGATACTAGCATTTCATAAGTGGAGGAGAAGGATATTCCATAGTGAAACCGAAAAAGGACCCATTTCTGAAAGCATTACCTGAGTTACAGACAACAGCATAGGATGCTTGAGAAAAGACTGAGCAATCAACACTGGGAGGTGGAGGGCTGACGGAAAGACGAGACCGAGAGCAAGCATTTTTTACTATGAGTAAAACCAAATATAGAAGATTTGGTTGGATACGCTTGAGAACAGAAGATAGTAATAGTAGTTCAGCATTTAATAGAACCAACCCTCAACCCGGGGAGACCATCAACCGACATCGACTATGCGCAATAGTGTTACACTCGTTAAACACGAGCAGTGCATTGCGAAATAAGCATTGAATGAATTGTTAAACTGCCCTTACCAGAACGAGTCATTAACTAAAGGGCTGTGCTAAAATCCTGAACGAAAATGAAGGTCGGGCTGGCCTAGATATGCATCCTTGAGGGTCAATATGGAGAACTTTGCGAATACATATGCCTATAAGAGTCTGCCGCAGAGGTCAAAGAGGAAACAAAGCAACCCACGTGTATCGTCCATCCCATCCTAACTCAGCATTCCATACAGCGGAGAAAGTCTCGAAGGAAGAGTGCAGAGCAGCTAAATGGCTGCCAGATGACGGTAATATAGTGGAGGCTAGAGATTCACTATGACTCCTCAGACAGTAGCGCTAAATTGCAAGAGCAATCAAAAAGGTACGAAGAAGAGAACTTTGCTCGAATTTTTCTTGGCTAAATGCAGTTAGTTGTCGCAGAAACTTTTGGAAGATGGTAGAGTTCTCGAATTACGGCTGATTTCGAAAGAACGGTGTGGGTAAAATTGTAGAAAAGATCGCTAATTTCCACATGAGTTAAAAAGGATTACCTAACATTAAGAATGTGAACTAAGGAATTCGAGACTTAGCTACAAAAGCAGTGTCGAGTTAGCAGAGGTAATGCAGTTCTGTTAGTGCTTTTGAAGAAAACGAGACAAAGTAAGAAGGGAGGAAGGTGAAACAATATGCGATTGATAAGCTTGCTTATGAAAGGCTATTTGAATGCATTCACGCCAGAAGGGTAAGAATCAGGACAATTTATCGCCACTTCTTGAATTTGGAGGGATTAATATGAAGAAGCTTATTTGAATAATCCAATCGGAAGAAGTAGGTACTAAGTAGTAGAAATAGGTGATAGCACGCAAAGGGACGCTTTTTACAAAAGCAACAAATTTCGCCGGCATGTGGAAACGCTTGCCTTTTGCTAGTGCCACACTTCGAGTTTTAGGCTTTAAACATAAAATTGGGTCTATAGTGAATAAATGAACCCGGGAGGCAAATTTGGTAGCAAAGTGAGGAGAAAATTGTCAATGAAAAAGGACGCGAAGCTTCAAAAAAGGAGGGCGCGGAATGAAGACAAGGGTATCTAGGGTGCATAGGGGCCAGAAATGTAGTAGTTGTCATTCCGACAGGACAGCCAGCGCCCTCAAGCCCAGTCGCGCCATCCAAAGTATCGAAAATGATTTGATGGAATGCTTGGTATGAAAGGAGGAATAGATTCGTACTCTTCGTTGAAAGAGGGACTGTACTGACAAGAGGTGTTTTGAACCAGAATTTCGCATCGCAGTGAACAACAACTTGCTAAAACTAACCGTATCTAAAAGCTGCTGTTTCAGGAGGCATACGAACGAGCCATGAAGCTGGAAATAACAGTTGGGTAATTGTACAAAAAAGGCAGAGGAAAAAACAGAGGCTCCTAAATTTCGGTTCTCCTAGAAGTGAGATAGTGTTGCTCCGTAGGGCCTGACCTCATCACTACAAACGGGTAATTAAAGCGAAGTCCAAAAGCAAATCCGAATAATCTTTAAAACGTAACCAATGGTGTGAAAAAGAGGGATACAGTCTTTCACGGCTCAATCAAATTAAAATGCAATACAAATGCAAGTGACGAGAAAGGCATCGAAATGAGCGAAGGGAAAGAGGAATGGGATATTAGAGGCGGGGACACGGGTTTTTGATGGTTCGAAGATGGACGGAAGAACAAGAATGGGTAAACAGATATGGAGCGGATGAACCGATGGGTGCAAACAGTAGTCATAAGCAAGATTAGATGTTTGGAAGGGTTGGACAAAATCGGGATGATGATGGATGGAAAGGTGGACGCTTAGGCTGATTTAAGGTGTGAGTATGTCTAAACTTCATTGAGAGATCGAATGGGGATTGAGTGAATAGGCAAAGTCGTGTATCTATACGGAGAAATGAGCCAACTCCAGTTGCTGGAATGGGTCGACTCGGACAGGTTAAAGTTGGATGAATGGATAAATCTATGACAGTTCGAATGAATAGAGAATGGAATGGAAAAATCAAAGTTACTGTGCATTCGATTAAATAAAGAGCGGTGTAGAGGAACCTCGAAAACTCGGAGAAAAAAGAAGAAACGCACCTTAACCGGCGCTCTTAACCACAACCCATTGGCAAAGAGCAGCTTGTTAAAGAGCTGCCGAAAGAGAACGAGAAGGACAGGAACACCACCAGCGGAGGAGTAGGGAGAAGCAGCAAGCAGTTCACTAGTAAGGTACCGCGCAGCCTCCAGCAAGCCATTAAGAAGCGACTCAGTGAGGTGGGAGGGCGATGACTGCCAGAGGGCCTGTGCAAATACCACCAGTCCGTTGGTACGCGCAAGCTGATCTCTCAGGGCATACGAAGTGCGTGCCAGATCAAAGAGCAAGTTGAAGAGCAGAGCACTGATTTGTGGCACAAGACGGGAAAGAACCCAGTTAGCAGTTGAAATCATGGAGTCAAGAAAAATACACTTTACTATTGTGGTCGCGAGTAAGATCGACTAATTTGAGAAAAACAAAGTTGAAACATGCGTGGTCTCAAGTAGTTATTAAAAATCTAAGAGGTTTTAACTGAGTAGTTAACTGCTCTGGAAAGAGCGCCCTGAAAATGCTCAAGAATCTTGCAGACAGCCAATAAAACGGTGAAAAGGCATAGGCCGATTTGCATCCTTCAAACTGAGAAATGGAAGAAAATAAGGGCACTATTATGGGGAGCACGAGGGAATGCTAAGGAGAAAATGAACTAGAACCGTAGAAGGAAAAAACCTTATTGCTAAGTTGGACTGAAACAAGGTTTGCAGACTTTGACTGAGTAGTTATGTTTGGCTCAAGTAAAACAATGCTGATGCTGATGGCGACTCAGAAAATAATAGCAAGATAAATTAAGAGGTAATGGTTGAATTGGGGGTACCAAAATACCAACTCTGGCCCCATTTTTAGCAGTGGAACTCGGTTCTCATAGTAAAAATATGGATTGATACATAGGGATTCATGGATCCATGAGTCGCCTTGATAAGAATTGTCGGTGAAATTATCAATAACTCCTCGATGCGCAAAAGATTGTTTCTTTCGATGGGCGGAGGTTATTTCTGGTTTATCGAGCAATGTGGAACTGTAAAGTAACTCAATGGAACGGTCAATTAAGGGAATTAATTCATAAACCCTTCACCCCACACTCCCACAGATAAGGTAATGTCCATTGAAAGATCGATCAAATTTTGTTTCTTGTTCAAGGCATTCTTAACCCCAACACACTACTACGTGCTGCGTTTAATAAAAGTTTATCTAAAAACCCGCCCTATAACGCAAGACTGAAGGGCAAGAACTTATCAAAATACCGACGCGCCGATTCCTTGTTGACAAAAAGGGCAGAGGGACATATCACAGAGTGCCGATAATAATAGCTGGCAATTCCCACCTCAGGTAAACGAGAAATGATGGCTACAGATGAAAATCGGGTGTGGTGACGAAATAAGGTTGCCGGCGTTTTTCAAAGGAAAAAAGTGTTAACAGAGCATGAGTTCTTAGTGCTATATGGAAGGCATTTAAAACCTTATTTGATGGTGTAAAAATCTTGCATTTCATCAAAGAAGACTAAAACACAAGCACAGTATTTTTAAATTGAGACAAATAAGGAACTTACGCTATCGGAAAGAGTTTCGTGTCGTTTTGGGATTCATCAGTATTCAATGAATTGTCTACTGCGAAATCCAACTGCTCAAATAGGAGATAAAGCAGCTGAATTCCTCCCAGACTCTGTATGGAAGATTGAAGGGAGGTTGTTCGGACAGAACGTACCTTCTAGTTTGAATAAAACAAAAGGAAAATCATGGAAATTAAAGAGTTGTGGCCAGAGAGATGGAATACTTTTGGCTGATGCTACTCAATTCAGCTTGTCCATAGGGTTCGCATAAGTCATAGAAATCCCGAAATATCAACTAAATAAAAGGTTAGTTTGGTTACTTATGGTTTATGAATGCTAAAGCCATGAGATCCGCCATAAAACCGATATATAAAAACAGCTTTATTTTCAGCCGCCAATAGCAGATAATATAATGCAAATCCAGCCACGGACACCTACAAGTGGGTAAACAGCCCAGAAATCAGATGGAAAATAGCGAAGGCATATAACATGCAACTTGCAGTTTTTGATCCAGTGTTAATGCATCGATTCAATACTAACTCACGCCCTGCATAAGTCCATGGGGCGAGTGCGCAAAGACAGAGTTCGGTCTGGGAGATTGATCCAAGCATAGATTGTGGTCGCACGCCAAAGGATGATAGATAAACATGATGGAAGTGGACAGTTTACTTTCAATCAATGCTTTGCATTCCGTCTCTGACAGGATACCTCTCACTTCGGACTCAAATTTCAGTTGACCCTGAAAAAAATAAAAGAAAATACAATAAAAAGGTCAGCTCAAATCCAGCGATTGGGCTTATGTTGAATAAGCACCTGCCTTGTAGTTCGGGCCTAGAGTATACAATGCAGAAATTTGCTGAGGTGACAGAGCTTCCGTGAATCCAATGATGGAAGCAATGCGCCCAGAGAAGAGGTTCTCATCCCTCTGGTCGAAAGATCCACCAATGACGCACCTTTCGAAGGGGTCTGACCCCGCGATTGGCCACGCCATTTCGACACTGGAAGTGATTTTCCCATCAACATAACATCTTAGTTCCGACTTGGTCCAACGATTATAGACAAATACAATGGTCAGCATGTACCACTAAAAAGGGATTATGGAGAACTCAGCCCAAAAATTACTCTGCATGGGTGGAATTCCGCGGGGACGCAGTGTTGTAGTCCTTTGTCCTTAGCCCTGATTGAGGTAACTATAAACAAAGTGCCCAGGAAATGGGCAGTATATCCAAGTCCCTTATCAGTTTGGAAACTACACAGAAATAAATGAAAAGGTTAGGTAAGCTCACCTAAAAAGGTAACGAGGCTTTACTTCTCTGAGATTACATAGGGATGGGTCAATGTAGATCCAAGTCTGAAAAGTCCAGCCGTTCTGATACGGGAATTTGGAAATCGGAGGAATCACCAACATCTAGGACATTATGTTAGGCAACAAAACCTACACTTTTCGAATCTCCTGGAAACATAAAGAAAGACATATTATTCGGGAAACTTGAGGCTATTTTTAATTGATGAATGAGCTCATAGGAATGAGACCTCTAGTGCAATAATGAAACAGATGTATGCGTACCCAAATCTTGTTTGAAGCCATTAGATAATGGACAATAAGGCGTAAACTCCTCGAAGAAACCGTGAAAGAGAGAAGACTCGACAAAAGAAGCAGATATTTCGATGCAACGCGTTCATCTGATTTTTCTACCGCGGTCAACAAAAAGGCAACAACAGCAGACTCATCAACATCGACAAGAGTAGTTGGCGAAAGTCTCAACAAAACCAAGGCTTGATCAATAGCAGATTCCTAAGAGATATAGAGCCAACAAAACAACGTACAGATATATTGTCTTTATTTACGAATTCATCAAGAAGATCAGACAGCGTAAAGGAATGCAGACTGCAAAAATTAATACTTAATTAAATTTAAACCTTTTGTGGTCCAGGATCTCAGCATTTTCTTTCTTAAGATAAGTAGTGTTAGACATAAGGTTGTTTTGCCCCGAATCAATATCGACGGCACTCGCCCCAGGCACTTTTTCATCCTTATCGCTAGTAGAATTTGATTCCATCGTAAACGATAGATTTCACGTGCCCTCGATTCGCCAGACAGTTGTTAAACAAATCAAATTACAACACGTCAACCAACCAACGCTATGCTGCCTTCAAAGAGGCCACCATTAAACAATAACCAATTGCGATCAAGGTCACAAAGCTATTGACTATTTAAAAAAATGACATGGTTTTTAGTTATTTCCTAATAACTTATGCCAAATAACCAAAAATGGTTAAAGATGAACATTGCAATAAATTAATTTATTAGTAGCGGAGAACGATTCGCTTTTAAGATGACTTGTTTTCAAGGTGTTGAGAAATTTATTTATCACTGCCATTTTATTTACCAAAAAGTGCGCATGAAAATAGAGTGTAACGCTTTGAGCATGTAGCATCGCTGGGAGACTTCTAGTTGGGTAGCTGACAGCAATAAGTGGAGCTAAATTTATGCATTCTAGGGCGAGAAAATGGATTAAGTCTGAGCTTAATCAGAAGGCCAGCCCACGTGTGCAAAGGTCAGACGAATATTAAAAATTAAGGTTAAACACAAAAAGGTTGCATAAGCAAACTACTACAATGTGATTGCCTGTATAACCAATAGTTCTCTTTGTGCTAAGCCTAAATTCTATTCTTTTCTATGCAGTGTTTTTATAAATAAATGACATATCAATCTTAGTGAGGATTTTAAGGGCGCCACAAATGTAATGGGCATTTTTGAGTACTTGTGTTCAAAGTAGTGGGATGGAGGTTGGGCCTCGAAGTGGCTCTCAATCCGTATTACAGGGTGGAAGAAGGCAGAAAGTGAGGTTGGATGCATGTATTCTGAAGAAAGCAGAGCAAGTGGGTCTGAGCATGGTTAAAAGGCCAGCTCACAAGTACAAGGGCCAGACAAATCCTAAAGTGACCGCCGAATGTCAGATAGTCACATCTGCAAAGCATTACAGGGATGATATTTGTTTACAACTTGTTAAATAAAAGCCATAATTTTGATCATAGGTGCAGCGCCTCGAAACTTACCATCGGGTAGAAGGGGACATTAACTTATGCTGAATACATATATTCTAGAATGAACCAAACAGATCTTCTAGTGACCGCAAGATTTCAGGAGGCCACATAAACAAAGTGTTGCACTGCCCCTCTTCATTTGAGCGACGTCCTCGACGCTCCCCATTGAACACTTCTCGTGCTAGCCATCACAACATATTAGGTACAGCAACAAAGTGCCCACGAGTTAGCCGCTCCAGCCAGCAGTTAACATGAGACTGAGGAATGGTACCAAGTCGCCTCAGCGCCTTCAACTGGATCTGAAATTATATCTGGTCTGGCAACCAGAATTGGACAGCGTACATCTGCTAACGATTAATTTCTTTCAGAGTTAGACAGTGAAACTCTAGTCTAAAGGAGACGTATTACAGGGGAAACGGAATGAGCCACTGAGTCGCCCATAGGGAGAACCGTAATGTCATTTTCGACACCTATACACAACTCAGTGGAGTGTACTCTGTAGTTACTGCCTGTCTACCCTCTGGTCCCTGGTTCTCAGACTTTAAAGGGAAGTTGGTTGTAGACGATTTATTAGGCATCTCTATAAGAAGGAAAGGGGAATAAGGTACAGATGTGATGAACAGGAGGTGTCAATCGCAGGGAGGCTTCTCGTCGACCTCGCGCACGTGATCCACGCTTCCAATTGGTTTCCGCCTCTCGCCTATAAAAGTCCACTTAAACAACTAGATATATTACATACTCCTACACCAAAATTTTTTTCATGATGATTCACGGTGGTACCGCATTATTGGTTATAGCTTGCCTGTGAAACACGGTATTAAGGTGAAGCCAAATGCAGGTGTCGATCTCGACCCTTTCGTTGTGAGGGATTTAGAGTGCCTCCGCCACTGATGTAAATGAGCCGCCTGCACACCGTATGGGCATGCAACATGTATTTCGAAGGGAACAGAGTAAATGGTCCTGAGTGTGGCCTGAAGGCCTGCCCACGAGTACAAAAGCTGAAAAAATCTTAAAGTGACCGCCAAAAGTCAGGTAGTCACACCTATCTTATTAGCACTGAGCAGCACTTTTCTCGACACATATTTAAGCAGTGAATCGAGGGATCGCGCTTTTGGCATGGCTCGGTTGTCATCTTACACCAAAGTGATTATATGATTTCTCAAAGTTAAGACCCTTCATATCAGTGGCCAAATAATTTTTTGAATTAACAAAGGCGAGTAGATTATTTTAACGTTAAAGGCAATGTGATATATGTAAGATGTAAGAATTTTGGGTGTCTCTTGTGGTCATCTGCCGTTTGTTGTTCAAATGGCTTATGAAGCAGTCCACGGCCCCGACTTTACCCTTTCTGTTCAAATGTATGCATTCAGTTACGCCAGCACCTTCCAGTGTTATGGTATGTCTTAGATTATCTCTGGTCGCGGCTGCATCGTTTAGCATATGTGGTGGCTGTAGTGCCCAAGACATCTTGCACTAAATTAGGCTGAACGCTTATATTTTAAAGAAGAACTAGGGATAGAGTAGTGGCATGGCCCGAAGTCCAGCTCTCAAATACGAGAACAAGACGAATGCTGCATTGAAATCTTGACATCAGGTGGTTACATAAACTAAATATTGCAACCTTCTGCATGTCTAGCGGTTGCTCTGGCACTGGCGTGGCTTTTGTGCGTTTGGACTGGCCCTTGGATTAAACTAAAGCCTCGTAAAGTTGCTCAGCTTAATGCCTTACTCTACCCAGCAGGAAGACTCGAAATAACACAGTGGATCCATAAGTGCTTTCTGACAGCTAGTTTGCAAATCAAAGTTGCGCAGCATCACAATTCAATGTCGTGTTTTAATCCATTCATACCCCACACCAAAATCCTTTTATAAGTGATGTGCATTAATCACAATGAAAATGTTCTTAGCATGCTAGACAATTAAATATCCTAGATTTTGCAATTGTGCTTGCTCATCATTTTTAAGATGGCAAATTATTTGTATTCTGACCTAAATAAGCGCAAACCTGCAGTTACCCTTTTTGATGTTTTGTTATTATCTTTCGATTGAGTTGTTAGCTAAGTTATACAGTATATTAGTTTGTCAATAATCAACTTTGTTTTAAGCGTTTTAGAATATGATGATTTTCCACTGCGCCACTTTTGATAGTCACTCAGGTTGTCTCTCGATGGCTTTGCAAGAGGAGCAGAGTTCCAGTACAAATGCAACGGTGGCTGCTATGGATGACGAAGTTGCCGGTCCTATTCCAGTCCAGAAGCTCGAAGTTCGTCAGTTCTTCCTTAATTTGCCTGGAACATTTTTTTTACCTTATGTATGCTTTTGTTGCTGCCTCTGCAGTCTTCTCACTGGCTCTAGTTTTCTCTTTAGGGATCTGGGATTTCAGCAGCTGATGTTAAGAAGTTGCAAGAAGCAGGATTTTATTCCGTAGAAAGCATACAGTTTGTCCCCAAAAAGGCTCTGCTTGCTATCAAGGGTATTAGCGAAATGAAGGCGGACAAAATTTTGGTATGTTCTTACACATTGCCGATGTACGCCATAATAGGATGCTGCAAAGAAATTGGTTCCATTTGGCTTTACTACAGCTACTGAGTTTCATCAGAAGCGTTCGGAAATCATTCAACTTACTACGGGCTCCAAGGAGTTGGATAAGTTACTGCAAGGTGGGATTGAAACTGGCTCCATCACCGAGCTCTTTGGCGAATTTCGTACCGGCAAAACGCAAATTTGCCACACTTTAGCCGTTACATGCCAGGTTCGTTTGTAATTGTCTTCAGTGTCGCATAATTTGGAGATACTGAGGTTGAGATAAATTGTTTCTACTTTTGGTTGCACTCCTAACAAATTTTTTCCTATTGTGGTCCCATTTATTGTTACCAAGTGTTCATTTTTCATCAAAGAAACTGGGCTTTCCTTCAGTTAAGTTAAGTTTGGACTGCTTACTTTTCTTGCCCGTATTTTGTTCCACTATTGTTTTTTTCGTCAGTCCTTCATTATTAAGGTAGCTCCTTCAATTTTTCGCTTTTTAGTTGCCTGTTGATATGGGAGGCGGTGAAGGCAAGTGCCTTTACATCGATACAGAGGGAACTTTTCGACCAGAGCGGCTTCTTGCCGTCGCTGAGCGGTATGGACTATCAGGAAGTGACGTCCTTGATAATGTCGCCTATGCTCGTGCTTACAATACCGACCACCAGATGGAGCTTCTGATCAATGCTGCTGCCATGATGAGTGAATCTAGGTGACAGGTGGTACTTAAATGGGTTTAAGTAGACCTTAATTGTCGGGTAAATTTTACAGTTTATCTTTCTAGATACGCTCTACTGATAGTGGACAGCGCCACCGCCCTCTACCGAACGGACTACTCCGGTCGTGGTGAGCTTTCTGCCCGCCAGATGCACCTAGCTCGCTTCCTCCGAACACTCCTCCGACTGGCCGATGAGTTTGGTGTCGCCGTCGTGATCACCAATCAAGTTGTTGCTCAGGTGGACGGCGCGGCGATGTTTTCGGCAGATCCGAAGAAACCTATTGGTGGCAATATTATGGGTCACGCATCTACTACTAGGTAGGTTGTCTGGGACCTGCTACTAGTTTGTGTTGAGATTTTTCAATATGTAGGTTCTGACTCATTTTCCTCTAGACTCTATCTTCGAAAGGGTAGAGGCGAGACGAGAGTGTGCAAGATCTACGACAGTCCCTGTCTACCAGAAGCGGAGGCAATGTACGCAATTCTGCCGGACGGGATCGGGGACGCCAAGGACTGAGACGTGTCAATTTTTAAATCTACTATCTTTTGTTTCAAAGTTTTGAAGTCCCGTCCGGAATTGTGTTCATTTGTTGTGAACTGACATCGTGGTCATACAAAGCTCTCTTCCGCGTTTTTAAATGATCCGAACTAGATTCTATTGTATATTTCTATTTTTCTTGAACTACCACTCGGCCATGTTTATTGTGGCGCTTTTGCTTTCACCGTTTCGCTGGTATCAAGAAATGTTAGTCCTGACACTGGCAGTCACCATTGTTATCAACTAGTTGTGGGTTTTCATTAGAAGATACTGGTTTGGTTATCTGGCTTTTGGAAATGTGGTTTTGATTATGAAGTTGGTCGTTGTTATCGTATTCCGCCTCTCGTTGCCCGCCTATTACATGTAAGGTTCGAAAGCGGCGTTGTTTTTCCCAATCTTCATAGATCATGAGCTTCTAAGTCAAATTTCACGGACAAGGCGACGTTGCTCTTTTTCATTGTTGTATAGATCAATCTCAATCCGCCGTAAAGATCAATTTCATGACTAATAGTTAACGCCCTTTTTTGGAGTTGTCACATGCTTTTGTCGGTTTGTACAAAAATCGGCTCATTCGGGTCGGAATTTCGCGTCCACGAGTAGAGTGGGAGGCAATTTAATGAGGTGAGAACCGCTACCTCAAAACTAACCGCAGTCGAGTTTCATCTGATGGATAGAGGGTGATTCCACCTATTCTCGCAGGGTAAGACTTCTCTGTGTACCTTTGTAGAACCACGCTCTGTATCCACTTGTCATAAGCAATCAGACGTTTGACGTTTTAGATGCTTATTCACAGGCTCATATATCGAAGTCGGGAGTTGGAGCTCTCATAAATAGAGTTGTCAAGAGCGATCGTTGACAGTATTAATCGTTGTCGTTAGTGGAGTCTTCAGTGCAAATCGAAAACTGCGAATTGGATGCCTTTGCTTCCCGCCCAGCCTAAGGTTGGTGTGGCTGGTCTACGCCTTGTTATCACTTAGTGTTGGGAGAGGTATCACCGCGGTCTCGCATCCATCCACAGAGGCGTTCTTTGTAGTTTAAGCTGTTCATTTTATTATGCCCCACCAGGTCTGATCAGATAACCGTCTTTCGATATATTAGGCTGCAAGTGAAGGGAAGTTACCAAAAAGCGGTGGGATGACAAGTTGACTAAGTCAAAACCATTAAAGACGTGGTAGTAAGTACTCCATACAAGTAAATAATTAAGAAGTGTGTGCCATTAAATTACGGGTCGATTTAATTGCGCAAGCTATTAAAAGGTCATTAGTCAAGAATGTTCAAAGATTGATCACAGGTGTTGCAGTACATCTCAAGTGCTAGAAATTTCTTTGTTATTACTGAGTTGTAAGTACAAGATCATCACTTGCAAAGGCACATTCTGATGTACTTTATAGCAGGTCAGGTGTGTTGCCTTGATCTCGTACCTTGTTTCAAGTTCGGAAGCAAGTAAACAATATCTAAATATTATAGAAGTGAACTTTCAATGGCACTCAAAGTGATGGGCCTCTTATCTCACCTATCTGACATGTTTGATGCTCCAAGGGCAGCCTAATGTATTCGCCATCTGACATCACCATTTGATGCCACGTCTTCAAGCTGTCTCATTCATTTAGCAAACCATTAAACAGAAGCTCTTTAGGACCTACAATCGAGAGACGGATCAAACTGTAACCAAGCAAACTCACTAAAGTCCAAATTTCAGCCGTCAGCTTTTCATCTGCTGAAACCTCCCTTCATGACCTTATAGAATTTTAAACAGGAGTGCATATTTGTGGATCACTTTTCCTGCCTAAGGGCATGGAAAAAGTAGGCATCCTGCCTGTGTTTGGCCGCCAGGCTTGCATTTTACGCCAATTGAAGGGTCTTGCGCTGACCCATTGACCAACACTGCGGGATTTGGTCGTACTGAGGTAATGACTAAGAAACCACTGCATCTTCCCTCTCCGCTCCTCACCCCCACCTCCCATAAATTAAGAACGATATAATTCTTGAGCAAAATCTATTTACCAGCTTGAAGCTGGAGCTTGGAGTCCTCTAGTACGGCCTGAAAGACAGGCGAAAATGACGGAGACACAAGTGCGGAGTCCCTATTCGGTTCATTACAAGAACCTTAGGAGCAAAAAATCATATCTAGAATTTTTTTTACATTTCTGCAGTAAAAAACAGGTTCTACTTGCATTGCCATAGTGCACAACTGACTAGCTATGTTATGAGCAGATGCATGCAACTGCATAACTATCTGAAGTGGAGGTGAATGCAATTTACGCGTTTTTAGTTGCTACCGCGTCAAAGTTTTTTCGGCGCGCAGAGAGGGCTTTGAAAGGTCACTGCACAAAAGGGGCGTTAGTCATCGGCACTGCCCTGCGCCCATTTCGATGGTCGAGTTCCATTGAAAAAAACGGGATTTGGGGCTTGCATGTGCAGGGTAGCAACCGATTGATGGCAAACGCTGTACTCAAACGTCTATCAAACCCTTAACTAAAAAGCGTTTACGGATTGGCGTTTTTGACGTTCAACTTTGGTGATTCTGTACGTGGATACCAAACGGCAATCAGTAGGGAAGAAACTATTCATCGAGAAAGCGTTGCAGGGACTCGAGTGAAGACCTTGTTGAAGGTGTTTTCTTTGTTACAAAAATCGCGGACCTTTGGTGAGGCGCTCTTTTGCCCTGAAACGTGCTGTTCGAGGTTCTAAAATGGTCTGCTCTGGGCCATTATGTCCACCGAAAGCAAGGGGTAAAGTAACTTTTAGCAAGGAGCATTTTTTTGAAGCGCTGATGTCCTCGTCTATCTAAAAATGCCTAAAACAATTCGTAATGCGTTTTATTTATTGCCACGTTGACCATATGTGAAGCACTGTGGCTCCCAACAGCACTCCTGAAGACGAGTGAAGGCATAAAGCTGGGGCAGAAATTGTATTGGTAAAAAGAGAACTGTGGAGAAAATTTGCACAGTCTGAAAAAAATATTGCAAGAATGACCAAAGTATGGGGTGGCCCTTCCTTCATTCCAACAAGATTAGTGGCGTAGAAGTCATCTGCTAGTCATAATGTCTTCCAACTGCAATGGTGCTGATTCCTCTCAGTTGTTCAAATGGGACCAAAATTTCGACCTTAGAGAACTGCACTTGGAAAGGGAGAAGGCAGAGGCAACAGTTCAGTTTAACCCTTTTCAAATCATAATGGAACATCATGTACAGGACCAGAATTATATTTTGCGGAAAAGATTTTGCATTCAATTTATCCGTTCCGATCTCCTTAAGCCAAAAGGGCTTTGGATTATCTATCCGGGTTTTATCCAACTCGTCAAAATGCGGAGCCATCGAGTGTTCACTTAGTTGAGACCTCGAAACAGTCATTTAGAAAAGTGGAGATAAAGTGAATCACGAAGGTTGGTAGATGGAATTAAGTCACCTTTCGTTGCACCAAGGCGAATTTATCGTAACTGACATCCATGATGCTTGGTTTTTTGATACACGTTTAAAGTTTAGAGCTTATTTACACAACGCCTCAGGAGGAGTTTAAAGTTAGAACGAGGCACAACAGTTGAAACAAAAGTCCGTTGCTAACGCATAGTATCACAGGGCTTGGAAACACAAGTCATCTTTTTTCGCAACCCTACCGACCTGTTTAGGAAGTGAGCCGTCTTAAGTCTGCCAGTTTTTTAGGCTGAAAGCCAATTATATATCTTTTTAATTCGTTGCTTGTCACGATTGTCAAAGCTGCCATCACCTGCTGTTTGAGGGCATTTTAAAGATGCAGTCAAAAGGTGCCGCATTTGTGGAAAGTAAGCATAATGAAGCACTGTAGTGAAAAGAAATAGCGAGGCTTCAAAAGAGTCAGTTATGAAATGCTAAGGTGCTTGTTTTTTTTTTATTTTTGGAAAGTTTTGTCTAAACCGTGCCCTTGTCAACATTTTAATTAAAGGCAAAGTTCCGACCACCCACTGCCCCAGACCTGACTATTGCCTTAATTATCGTCCATTTATATAAAAATAGCAATTTCAAATGAATTTGGAAGGTACACTGAAGCTGTAGATCTGAACACAAGCAAAACCCATGGACGTTAGAGAGGCTTGGGATTCGAAATCGAAGTTTGACGAAGTAAAGGAGAGGATGTTAGACGGACTGGAAATTGTCCCATTTACGGAGGTGTGTTGCCTGGCCTTCGTTAAATATGGGCGGAGGTAATCAGACGGGCAACCCCAAGGGAGTCACGGCGCCAATACACAATGAAATTGCTTGAGATCGAGCAGACGTTTTGACAGAGGATGAGAAAAGTGGTCTGTGCAACGACATAGGGACAAGGTAAATTATAGTGGTTTGTGGAATGAGCGCTGGATCATCAACAAATTGTTTCATTGTGTTTTGAAACATCTGATTGAGACAAGAAAGTTTGGGAATGAGGTAATTAGTAGTTTAACTCGAATGAGAGGGGCGATGATACAAACGCAAATAACAGCATGCGTTGCATGGAAAAGTAGGTTGGAGCAATCCATGTCCAGCATTATGGAAATTGCAGCGCTGCGGGCACGAGTCTTCGATTTGAATGAATTACAAACAGCCGAAAGAAGTTCTAGAAAATCTCCCCTTTGTGATAGGTAAAGGACGTTATGTTGAATATTCTTCTTTCGTAACGAAATAAGTAGGATGTTTAAATTGCTTCCAGAAGTGAAGATGTTCCATAAGTGTCAAAATTACTGCACCCGATAGACACTTGTGAGGCGCATGCGTTGAAAAGCACTGGATCGAGGTCATACTTCGTCCGTCACGCATCCAATGTGGCGCCGTTGAGTGCGCCTACCAGAGGTGTGAGTGAAGGAGGAGCACATCACGTCGTGGCGGTAAGTGTTAGCCGGAAGTAGTGCTGACCAGTGCGAGACAGATGCATTCGTCTCACAAGAGTTTCCCAAACTCGACTTCGATTAGCCTACGGCTAATGAGAGTAAGAAGAAAAATGCGAAATGAAGACCGCGGAAGTGAGCA